TCCTGCACACTCAGCTCATAGACAATCCTGTGGCCCTGGAATCGGATATCGTAGATACATGGTCCCCTGTTCACATCCATCCTGAAAGCAAAGCTCCAGAAAGAGGAGACAACCTGGTTGTTGCTCACACTGTACCGTGGCCCACAAGGCTCAAAGTGCAGTGGACCAAATCCCATCGGGGGAACCCTGGGATTAACTGAGGAAAAGCCTCCATCGGAGGACACCGTCTTGATCTTCTGTACATGCACTCGCTTCTCTAGGAATGCTCTTTCCAGCTCTGCCAAGCCATTGTAGTATTGTCCATTGTAGAAGACTTTTGGCACACTCCAGCAAGAGACATTCAGGCTGCTGTGGTCTACCAGCAGCTCCATCCCCACTGGATGCAAGAAGAAGCCGGGTACGTTCTGGAACAAGGCAACCCAAGTAGCACGATCTCCAGACTGGAACCCCCTAGGAGCTGATGTGAGACCTTGGAAGTTGCTCCCGTTGTGCCCAAATACCTGATTTAGAAAAGTGGGTGCCTCAGGAAGTTTCGTTTCCAGTAAGAATTTTGCGATCTGCTCGTATTCCTTGCCCAGCACCATTCTACTGTGGTAGGGTAATTTCCCACCATACTTTTGCACTGTCACATCCTGATGATATGTTGGCACTGGGAGTGGGCCCACCACATATTCAGTGATATTTGGGTCTGACTGATTTCCAAAATACACCACAACCAGTGCCTGTCGAGTGGGCCATCTCCCACCATGATCAAGGAAATTCAATACCTCATCTTTGCTGGGAAGCTGCAGATCCATGGAGTAAATGCAGTTATCAGAAGGGTTGGCATGAAAAGCATCTACCAACGGCAAACCCAGGTGGGACTGGAGGTACCTTATCACATGGACCATCTCTTCCGCTGACAGTCCGGCAAAAACCAAACTCTGGTTGTTATGTCTTTCCTTCAATGAAGCTTGTGGCTCGACACTACAGAGGGTCGCTTTCTCCTTCCGAGTCAGCAAAACAGTCACTAGGATAAAAATCGTGGTCAGAGCCATCAAGAAAAGGATGAAAAGGATTTTCAGATTCATTGTTACAAAGGAGTGTCCACAAACTTCAGCAGCGGCTCACAGTCTATGTCCTAGTAGCAGATATGCACTGGAACTATTGCAGGATATGCTATTCCAGGAAATATGAGAAGAGGCCACGGGAAGGAGGAACAGAGTTC